CCCCTAATAAATCCATGCTGATTGCCCCTGAGCATCATTTCTGATGCCGGCCCATCACAAATGTGCTCCTTGATGATCTTCTCAAAGAGTTTCCCCAGGATTGAGGTAAGACTGACAGGCCTATAGTTGCCCGGGTCCTCCCTCTTCCCCTTCTTGAAGATGGGGACCACATATGGGGACTCTATTCAAGACGCCTTGCCATTCTGACATCAACCCATTAATCATTATCCTTTGCTTGCAGCTATTGAGCCAGTTATCTATTCCACCTTATAGTAGTTTTATTTAGCCTACGTTTCTCCAATTTGTTTATGAGAAGGTCATGTGAGACCTTATCTAAAGCCTTGTTGAAGTTCAGATACACTATGAGTAGGGCCTGGTTTAAATCGCAATTTCAAATTTTTTGTGAAAAATCATGAATTTAAGTGATTTTCACAAAAAACGTGATTTGCAACAAAATGCCACTATATAGCCACTTGCTAGGGAGTTTCCCAGCAAGGGGCCATACCATGGCATTTCACTGCAACAAGACAGTTGCTGTGAGCATTGGACGGAGTGGGGAATGCAGTGATATAATTTTAATTGCAGATTTTGCCAATGGCCATCCTTAGAATATGCTCCAGTAACTTCCCAGGTACTGAGGTGAAACTAATCAATCCCCTGGGTCCTTTAAAAAAAAAAAAAGAGAGAAGCATTTCATTCGCCTTTTTCCAGTTTTCTGGTACTTGACCCATGTCCCATGACTTCGAGAAGATCATTGCTAAGGACTCTAAGATCTCCTCTACTAGTTCCTTCAGGACCCTGGGATGAAGCTCTTTCAGCCCTACTAACTTGAAGTCAGACACAACAATAGCTCTCTGACCATCTATTTTGTTATCTCCTCCATAATCTTGTCCCCTTCCTTATCCAGATAATCCTTTTTAGGTATCTGACTGCACCTTAATTATTTTGTGAAGACTGAGGCAAAGTAGCTGTTGAGTAGCTCCATTTTCTTTGCATCTTCTTTAAAGAATTCACCCTGGCTTGTTAACAGAGGGCCCATAGTCTCCCTGGTCCTTCTTTTGAGGTCAACATGCTTCTAGAACCTCTTCTTCTTATCCTTGTTGATCTCACCCTCCTTTGTGAGATGCAGTTTGTTTTTCATCTTTGCCTTCCTGATTTTGTCCCTGCAGGTTCTTACTACTTCCTCACATGCCTCCTTGGTGATCTACCCATTCTTCCATTTCCCTTATGCTTTCTTTTTGCATTTGAGCTAGCGTGAACTTACAAAGAGAGATGCTCAGAGGACAGAGGTTTGGTAATTTACAAAAGACACTGAGCTCTGCAAAATTGGGCTGGAAATTTTGAGGAGAGAGACCTGCTCATTGTTCAGGTCTCCTGGCCAAAAACTAAGAAAAATGTCTTTTAAAAAGTGTTATGAATGCTGCAAAACTCCAAGCAAAGGTTCAAATTAGGTTCAACTCTAAAACCCTGCAGGAAGGTTATGAGTCACGTTCTGGCCACCTTAGCATGCAGAGGCCAGGGGAGATTCATGCAGTGGCCACCTTAGCAAGCAGAGGCCAGGGGTGATTTAAATGGAACGACTCATGTAGTCAAGTGCAGCTGACTAGGATTAAAAAATTCTGGTTTTTATTGCTCTCCCTGCCACTAACTTGCTGGGCAACTGTAGGCAAGTTTATTCACCTTTCTGTGACTTATTTTCTTCATATGCAAGCTAAAAATCATGCTTATGCTCATCTTTATCAAAGGGAAAATGGCACAGCTGAGTAAAGAAAAATCATTCTCAAATAATGGCCCCAAATAAAGGGATTTACTCTATTACCTCAGGAACTGCGCCTCCCTCTCCCCCACCACACTCCAAGATGCAAGCAAAAATGTTCTCTTTCGCTAACAGATATCACCAACCGCAGGAACTTCTCTCATCCCAAAAGCCAAGGGAGAGAATGTGAGCAGTCACTCACATTACATTAAAGGAATTCACTACCACAATGGACAAAAAAAAAATTTACTCCAACTAATATATGAACCCTTCACCCCAGCAGATCAGACTGATGCTGCTTGGAGCACTCTAGACAGGCAGGTGCCAATGTACATATAAAATGTATCTGTAATTTATTTACAGAGGCTACCCCTGCTGCCACCCTCAAGAAAAACAAGCACATGAACTGTGAAACTGTCCTTATTGACATGGTGAATCCAACTCCTGTAGACATTATTACTACTGGGTCTTTCCCATTATAGACCCTAGGAAACTAGAATAGGTTCTCTTGATTTAAGAGGGAGAATAGAGCCAAAAAGGCTCACCTCCTCTCCCCTCTTGGGCTTACATCAGCCTACCTAGGTAGTTGTAGCCATAGTATTATATCATCTAGCTCAGCAAATAGAAGGATTAGGTGAAGAATCTGGGGACAAGGTCCAAAGAGAATATACAATAATTGAAGGTTTGTAAGTCTGCACCCTAATTTTGCAAGTGCAAACTATGGGAGAAACACTGGAGGGCTGGGGAAGAGGAGCACAGGACCTCTTTTATTGAAAGCCAACTAATGAATGCAGCTGTGGGCCGTAATGCTGGAGACCGGCATTCCACAAAGAAACTATGGTATGCACTGGTATAATAAGAACTTCTGTGTTTTCCAGTTTCCTTTAAAACAAACACAGTTAAGATTGGAATCAGCCCTACAAATGCATGCTTAGGAGTCGCATGATTGCCTCTGTCTGGGCAGAATGAAAGACTTGGGACTAGTTAAGAGCACTTTTAAAGAGCAAGTGATCGGCTTTCACGATCAAGTACTACCAGAGTAGGTAACCTCTTAAAAGTTGAAGCGATATTCCCAGCTCCATCCCTGGGTTACCATCCTGCTCCCAATTTAGCCTTTGGGCAATAGATAAACAGTAAATTATTCCAATTGTTTACTCAGCCCTCCCAAGAAGTTTTTGCCCTGTTCAACCTTATTGAAACACTTAGGAAAAATTCAGTGCCTCTGTAGAAACAAGCTAAGTGTGAAATGGGGTGGGAAGGAGATGGGAGACAAAGGAAAGGGCAAAAAAGAAAAAAAAAAGGAGGACAGAAGGCACAAGATGGAAGGAAAAAAGAACATGCACAAGGGCAAGAGACTGGGTTCACATTTACATTACCTGGCTTCAGTGATGCTGGCAATGTCTGTCCCCAAGAAATGTGGTTTCGGCAGCGTAGTTATAAAGTGAAGGTTCAAAGGGTTAAAAATCCGCACTGTGCCATCAGCACAACCACAAAAGATGTAGTCATTGTTCACAGAGATGCAGTTTGCCACAGTAGTCTGAGGAAGACACAACACCAACCAAAATGGTAAGCGGCACTCTCACTTTGAAGATCACCACATGAATGAGAGCGCACGAAGCGACTAGGGTCAGAAAGCCGAAGCGAAGTGAAGTGATGCAAAATGAAGCCATTGAGACTGAGGAAAAGCCTGAAATCCTGACTTCCTGTTTGAGAAGCATCAAACCCAGTTTGCTACAGGAGCTAAATAGTTACTGAGCAGGGAGATTCAGCCCTCAGGGCCTGCTCCTCTGTGGGTCCAAATTAAACATTACCTCTGTAGATTTTAGCAGAGCTACACAGATTTTTACACCAGCTGTGGATCTGGACCAATGAACATTTCTCTTGTGCTCCTGAGATATGATCCGCAACACAGGCTGGGAAACAACATCTAGTTCTGCACAAGCCACTGAACATGTTTCCTGCTCCCGAGGGACAAAGGTGGGAAAAGTGAGAGTATTCTTCCTTCTGCTGGGATTTTAACAAATGGCAAAAAATGATGGAAAAATGGAGAAAGGGCGAGTTGAAGGCAAAGACTTCATTCTGACTTACTGTGAAGCTGTCGGTGTTCTGAAGAGAAGGAAGAGGGGAAAGGCAGAATTTAGAGCAGAAAGGAAACAAAAGAAGAGACATTTCATTTGGGGAAGCATGGAACCGTTTTGCCATGGCTTCAATACGGTGAACCTTTCAGGGTTACCATTTTGCTTTACATTTTGTGGTTTTCTACCTTAAATTTAAACATGAAAATCTCAGACCTCCCAAGCTGCTTGGCCAGCAAACACCAGCCAAGTCCACTACCACACAGAAAAACTGACTCTAAGACTCATGAAGGTTTTGTTTCTTGGGTGACAGGAGACACTGCAGAAGCAGTTTGCTCTGTCCCTGATACAATGAGAGCTCCCCATCGTCACTAACATCTCCTGACCCTGCAACTCCTCCCCAACAGGGAGGAGCCACATCCAACCTCTCATAGACAGAAGGGCATTCATTAAAGGGTTAAACCTTGCAGACAGCATCTCAAGAATTAGAGGGCCCCCTCAATACAATCCCTTTCAGTGGCTAGCTTTGGAACAGAAGGCTCCATTTCCATCTCTGCCCTTTTAAGTGCGCCCTTTCATGGAACAAGTTAAAAGTCTCTAAATTCTCCTCACGAGTCAACAATTCTCACTGCTAATGGCAGCTGGCAGCCTCAAGATGTCCCTGTCTCTCCCACTCCATGTCAACAGGCATGATCTGCAAGGACAGCAGACACAACTTACCCTCAGCTCCACCCACTTGTCTAGCAGTCGTTTTTCATTGAATTCACACAGGAGGCCTGAGGAGGTGATGCAGAAAGTGCTGTCAGCTTTTTTACCCCTTCCACATGCCACATCAGTGAAGAAGTTGTTCCTCAGCTCTCCCAGCAAACCAGAGCGCCCTAGCAAGGGGACTGTGGCATTCACCTGCCAAAAGACAACAACCTGCTAGTGACAGTATATAACATGCTACAGTAGAGACTGCTGTAGACAGTCTGACAAAAGAGGTTGTAATAACTAGAATGACAGGGTTGGCAGCAATCTCAGTCTCAAGGATCATACAAGTCCATCCCCCTGCATAAGTGCTCAGTTCCCTCTTCCTAAATCAGCCTAGCCAGACCTACTTGCTGCAGCTCCAGAATGCATTAGGACCAGCAGTAGCAGCAAATCACAGGGAAGGAGTACCTGTTTTCGGCAATCTGGCATACGTGTCAGCCAATCAGAGGCACTTGAAGCAATGCTGGGGTTAAACAATGGCTGGTCTTCCCTGATGACTGAGACCAAGCTGCAAACTGTACTGACTGATGCATCAATGGAAGATTCACGATATGAAATGTGAAGTTACCTTCGAATAAATTTGGCTTTGGGCTACTGATAAGCAAACTAACATGGAGTACTTTGATATAACACAGTAGCAGAGGAAGCCATGTAGCTAAATCCACTATCAGATGCTCTGAAAACACACCCCTCAAAATCACAGATGTCCAAATCAGAGGAAGAGGCACAGCATAGGTATGACAAGCACATCTGTGTTGCTACTGTCACACACAAAAATGGAAGTGCCATTGAAAAAGTGTGTCAGAATATAGTAGAACTATGCTCGACTGCCACATGTGTCTTTGCAGTTGAATATGGGAAACCCCGGTTTGGGTGCCATGTGCAACCTGCCCTAAATAACTGCCCACTGGAGGTTAAGGCTTGAGAGCCATGGTCAAAAGCACTCTCATCCACTTCAACTGATAAATCAAAGAGTCATTCTGTGGGCTCCTACTCCCCAAAGCTATTGGAAAGAGCCAGATACTAAAAAAGCCCTGCTCACTGCTTCTCCTTGACACTTTTCCCATCCCTTGTTCTCACCTTGGAGGTTTTGCTGTCATCCAAGTACCAAAATTTGATATGCCGGTTACCAACTGTGACGAAATAACTACAGTCCTCTGAGAATGACACTGCTGTCACCTTGCTTGAAACCTTGTTGGCTGCCACCACAATGTTTTTCTGAAAAAAAAGATAACTTGTTTAAGCATCTTGCTTGATACAAGTACTGAAGAGGTTCATTTCAACTATAGGCCTGGCCTCAGCCATTAATCATATTCTAGTAACTAGCTCATCATGCCTTTGTACCAGTCCCACTTCTCCATTGTCTTAACTAGATGAGTCAGCAACCACCAGGGTCCACAGTAACAGTACTGCCTGGGCCTTGGCTATTGGTTTCATCATCACAGGGAGCTCAGAACAAGCATACTTCCCATTCTAAACAATGAAAGCACAGTATGCCAATACCAGCTGGAGGTCTTTCAACCCCCAAGCAGCAATGGGCAGAACATCCAGAACAGGTAGTATGTATCTTCCACAGGAAACCACTATAAATCTCTTCATGTGGGGAGTGGAATGAAAGTACAGATGGGCAGAGGAGATAAAGATGCTTCTGTTCAGCCCTAGAGGAAGAAGCAAGACAGTTGGGTCTGCTGCAGTTCTCCTGTGCACACATCAAACGCCCAAGGGAACAGGAGGGAAAGAAGCACAAGAGAGGGCTTTTCCCAAGGAGAATGACCAGGCTGCAGGAGCAGCCTCTCCCTGACCCTTGTGCTTGAACATTTTTGTCCACTGATTAGTATCCAAGAGAGGATTAAAAGCTCTTGTCTCCCTCCTCTGTGGCTGCATCCACACGAGCACGGATGTTTGTTTCCCTAGGGACAAGCAGCAGCTACTTCCCTGGGGACTGCTACTTGTCCCTGGGGAACAACCATGGCACATGCCCTCTAGCACATGGCAAGTTACCCAGGGTGGGGTAAGGGGGGCTGCCCCCACGTGCCCCCCTGTTTTTTTTTTTTGGCATAGATTTTTTTTTTTACCCCAAGATCTCCCAGAAAAAACACCCCCCACACTGCAGGGTAGCAACATGGGGAACACCTGCACATGTTCGAATTAGTGTGATGTGTGGTGTTGCAGACAGGTCTGTGGTGCCACCTACCACACATCCACACTCGTCTGGATGCAGCCAGTGAGTTTTAAGGCTGGGCCTCTTTCTGTAGTATTCAATTACCCAATAATGCAACAACTGGAGATATTAAAATGTTCACTTGGATCAACAATTCTTATCCTCATTTTTCTTCCCTCCCTCCCCTCTCACAAGCCATTCCTCCAATGCAGTGTCCAACTCAGAAGCTGTGGCTCTCCAAGAGGCCTGCTGCATGTCTGTCCCAAGTTGCTGAGAGACCTGCAGAGTCAGGGGAGCAAGATAAGGCTGTGGCACCAGCAGCACAGAGGCAGTCTCCAGTCCAGATGCAGTGGGCTTTAAGACAGCTCTTCCCCAAGTGAGAAGACAAGGAATGCTTTTAGAGCCCTCCCTCCCAGTCCTCAACAATCACACAACTGCTATGGGCTTTCCCCTTGTGAGAACCAGAAAGTACCACAGACTTGTTTCATCAGGACCAAACTTCCAAATCAGCCTCTTAAAACTGAAAAAAGGGATATCACAGTAGCTATCTCCTATGCAAGAGGAAAGACGGCCTTCTGGTTAAAGGAAGGTTCTGGGCTCCTGTCCAGTGCCCAATTCCAGGCTCTGCCACTGATTTCTTCTTCTATGACTTTGCAGAAGTCATGCTCTCTGACTTCAGTTCCCCATCAGGAAAATTAGAAAAACAATCCTCTCTCCCCATATTTTTCTGCAGTGATCTATTAAGTTCTTTGGCACAGAGGCAGTCTATCACCCCATGTATGTGATACAGGGACAGGGACTCCCCAAGCAAGCACTAAGAAATAAACAATACAAGAACACAAAAACCTGGATCACCAAGGCAGCACAAAGATTTTCATACTAAGTAAGCAATAACTTTACTCTATGATGCATTCATCTTTCAATCATTATCTTCAGTTGCCTTATATAGAAGAACTGAAAGATTACACACTGGATTTTCAATGGACATAAGGACTCTGCTGTTTAAACTTCAGAGAGAGAGACTCAGACAAGAACCGGGCAGGTTCAGAAAGCAGAGTCAGAAATATTAGCTAACAATGGAGATGACACATGAAGAGAATCTGAACTGTAGCCTGAGGGAGCTGATGAAGTAGTTAACAGCATACCAAAGGGAACACAGACCTGCAGCTGCATAACAAAATTAATAGTCATATTAAGATTTAAAAAACCCACATCTCTCCTAGAGAGGGCTGGTTACTGCCAGAGGTAAAGACAGAAGTAGAGGGAAGGAACCAACTCAAACTAGTGGAAACATGATCATATGGTTCTCTTAATATCACAAAGGGCCCCAGGCTCAATACGTTTATTGCCATTATAAAACACTTATTCAATGTTGTCAATTTGCATACACAATCTAAAAGATAATAAAATAAAGCACAGCCTGTACTCTGGTCTAGCACTGCCCCCACTCAGAACATATCTGGTCCCTGTGCCAGGTATACCCGATTACCTCCATACAGCTGTACTGACCGTCCTTTTTAAGCGCTTCTCATTCCTCCTCCTTGCATCAAAGAAACGGTTTATAATATTCCCATTCCAAACAGAACAAAAGCAAAATGATTCATGAATGTCCATAACAGGGACTCACCAAAAAGAGACAGTGAGAGAGAGACTTCTAGTTTGTAACCCCCTCCCCTCCCCCATCATCACCTTCCCCCAGATGAATTAGTTTAACCAGGCTCTATAAAAAACACGAGACACTAACAGTCTTGCAGCCCAGACCCCTCTGACTCCACAGCAAGAGATCATCCATCTTGTAAATTGTAAGGAACAACCCTGGGGATAAACTAAATAGGCCTCTTCCATCTCTAGCTTGTCTGATTCTATGAATGTCAAAGACAGTAGACTTAAACGCCATAATCAGACTTACCGAGAGCCCCTCTTTCTCCTCTGTGTGTACGCATGTTTTTCCGTGACATTAAACCAACCTTCCTTTACACTTACCTTCCATGACCACACATTGACGATCATGTCATGCTGATAACCCACTGAGACAATGTACTTGGAGCTAGGCGAGAAAGAGACGCAGGCCACGCCATACTTGTGTTCTTGGAGCTCAGCTACCTGCGTTCGTTCGGCCACATCCCACACCCGAACAGCTGGCATGTGTCCACTCTGGAGGGAAGAATGGGACACAGAAAGCAATAAACCTAACTCATAAGGTTACACAACAGCCACAGTTTATCAAACCAGGATAAGGAAAGAGCTCAACCCCTAGACTTTCTATTTGCATTACAACTGAGACCACAATTATAATGAATTACCTAATTTTATCTTTGCCCTTTCAGCCAGTATCCAAGCAGCTAATAAATAACACCCCCCAAAAATTACAAGAAAATGAATCAAAATTTTCACCCATCTCCGTTCTTGATAATGGAAATCATTAGCACAAGGGTAGCATTTAGGGGGTCTTAAACCAGGTCTCCACACCTCAAAAACTTGATGCCACAATTGACAGTCTCTCACACTCTCAGAAAGGACTATGGGACATTAGCCATATTCTCACACTCAGAGGCTATCACTCATAGTTAGGGTTTCAGACACATGGGCAGAAGGTAGAGCAGGACAGAGTGCACCCCTTATTTTGGAATATTCGATCTGTGAAGCAGCAGAAGGCTATGATCTCCAGGGATGTTTGCCAGCATTATGTCTGCGAGAATGTATATATATATGAAGAGCATATATGAAATAAAATACTGGGTAGGTAGAAATGCTTGCCAAATGCGTGCCTGACAAGCAAACCCTACTAAGCATCTTCCTCATGATTTCACACGGAAGCCTGTCAATAGGTAGCCCTGCAAGATAACATCTCCATGGCAACAAGGCAAAATGCGTCTTTTCTGGTCTGGGTTAAAGCAAGTCACTTGACTGTGTGTAGGAGTAATACATTTGCTTGCAAAAAAACCTGAAGCCTGGAACCCAGAACTGAGCATGTTTAATTGTCCTGTTGTTTCACAGCTTTACCAACATAGTCACGTGCCCTGGAAAACTACAGCAGTCACATTTTAGCATGTTCAGCTCAGTTTTCCCTGCTAACATGACACAGTTACACTTAAGACAGCAGAACAGACTCAATACAGCTACTCTTCAAGGCATTTATATTTCTTTAACACATGCAACTTTTAGATTTCCATCTGCCCTTTGAGACCTTACCAAACTGAACACATGTTAAATAGTGTAATATTCACCAACATTAAGTTCCATCAGCTCCCTACAGACAAGAAACTTATTCTTCTGGGGAAAACCTCCATTTTCTTTTATATTTGAGATCTGCAGACTAGAGTTATCACATATGGTGGCCTGAGGGGCAGCTTCTACATTTTGACTCCAGAAAATCTAGTCATGCATCAGCTTGAGGTATTACTAGACAGAGCCAATAGACCTGAGTTTGCTAGAAATCAGACAGCATAAGCTGAATGACTCTGGGTCAGCAATTACCAAGCTATTCTAACTGCAATACTTCAGGAGGCAGAACTAAGCCAAGAACAAGTGCTACCACCAGCAGGGGACACTATAGGACAAGATAAATGCTCAAAATAAAGGCCTCTAGGAGGACACAGACCCAAATGGCTGCTGACCTGGTTAAAATAATTTTTTTTTCAAAAATTTTGAGAAAAGAGAAATGGAGGAAGAAGGAAAAATGTTTCACCATGTTGCAAATTTTCCACATTCAAATTCTCAGCAAAGTTTCAAATGGAAACACTTTGTTTTGCATCACTGGGGAAATGACCAAAGCACATGCACATGAGCATTTTTAAACCTTCACTCCATACCTCAAGCAAGGAGGAAAAAAAGAGTCATTCAAAAACCATCAAGGTCAAATTTAGCTTTTGGAAAATAAAATATTTGGCTTTAAGTCTTTATAGCAAAATTCTAAATTTTCAACCAAATGAAAACCATGTTTGGGTTCAAAAAATCAGTTGTTAAAAATAGTTTTGATGGATGATTTTTAACTGTCTGTGCTGTGCAGCTGTAACCTGCTACAGAAGATAAAGCATAGGTCACCCTCTGTACTTGATCTACAAAACAGATGAGCATTATAGCCTTATCTAGGAAGATTTCCAGTTAGTAAGAGCCAACATCTTGGCAACCGAAGCAGGGGCTTCCAGGCCTAAAACACTGAACTCCATAGCCTGCACTCAAGCTTTGTAGCTTGGGGTTGTAATATACTTCTCTCTTCTGCTGTTGGGGCCCAGAGAGGACCTGTAACACACACAGTAAGTCAGTTACATAGGCATGGAGTCCAGTGACACCAAGCATTAATGACACACAACAGCAAGCCCAGTGTGACCAAAAAGGGGACAATCAACATTTTTGTGGGTTTCTAAGATCCAACAGTTCCAAACTCCAGCCACGTACATTATACATTTCTTAGACTTCTAATTCAGACCAGACCTGCGATGCTTGCCTCCCAGACATTTGAAAGGCAAAAGATGTCACCAACAGCAAAGTGTACAGTGCCAAACCCACAGACACCAGTATCTGTCACTAATCCAAAAGCTCCATTCCACACAGGCTTTTCACTTTTTCCATGACATTGTTACCATCTTGGATCATTTCCTGAGGGATAAGACCCTAAATTCAATCCAGCAGCTAGGAATTCGCAATCCCTTCCTTTCCTTCTTCTGTGATGTTAACAGGTGGAGTCAGTGTCCTTAACTAATCTCCACACTACCTTTAGCACAAGGATACCATCCCAGGAGTTTTACCACCAAGATGGAAAGACAGAACACCTAAAAAAAAACACTTTTTACAGGCATTTAGTAGCAAGTCAGGGTCATGCTAAAGATAACTGACAGAATGCCAGAACTGTATTTCCCTATCTAAAACAGTGCAGAGGTTCCCTCTATAGCTTTTCTAGGAGTAAAAACCATGTGGAAAGGCATGCAGACTAAACAAAACCCAGGTCTGCTCCATAGTTTCCATCCCCCAATCTATAGTAACTAAACTTCTTCCACCCCAATCTAAAATGGTATAGACTAGAAAGATGCACCTCTTCCCTCTTAAACAGTTTTCAGCACTTACCTCTCCAGTAACCAGATACTTTCCATCAGGGGAGAAAGCGAGAGCTGTAATTGTTTTCCTAAAAAAATATAAAGAGAGAGAGAGAGAGAATGGGATGCTATGAAATGGTGCCAGTACTTGATTTCACTGCAATCTGCCATGACTGGGGAGTGGAACAGGATGAGCTGGAAGGAGGCCCAAGTTGCATGTAATGACCTGGCATGGCGGTTCTGTTTTCAGGGACTGAACACTTGCAGTGGGGATTCCCTGCAATCCAAAAAATCTAGCGTTGTGTTAGCAGCAGAGAAAGGGTCCTGCAGGCCTGGACTTGCCACTGAACACAGGTCTTTACCTGACAGCTGGAGGGTTGACGCCTCAGGTGAAAAAAAAATTATGCAAGCCTCACAGAGTTAAAGTAAAACAGCCTCCATGCCATTCCTTAGAGAAGTTCTTCCTGAGCTCTTGCCTAACTGGCATTGCTACAGCTTTCCCTACAAGAACTCATGCGCAGAGGAGCTAGAGTTAAATTAGTTTGCCGTTTCTCCCCATGATAATTGTTGCTGGTGGAATTTTGGACTGAAGTAGCTGGGAGCAGGGTTCCTGCCTCCTGCAATTCTTATGATTTTGTTAGAGCCATAAAAAGAGGACCTGACTGTTACCTCACCATGTAACACCAGGACAGCTGTTTGAGTTGCACTCACCTGGAGCTGTTTAGAATATGGTGCTGCTTGTTTTTCCTAGGGTTGAATAGCACAACAACGCACCTAGACAGAGATAACAGAAGAACAAAATGAGATCGACATAATTGGCTGTGCGTACCAAAGCAAAAGTTATTCTCCTGTCCTTGGCACAAGAGTGAAAAAGCAGCTCAGAATCACTGCTCCACCTTCTACCCTCGTGGGCTGAACTTCAGCTATCTGCGATGGATGCTAATGCCATAAACATAGTCACTCTCAACTGTGAGCCCTGGGTCTCCTACCAATCACAAGCTAGACAGAAAGATTCATTAGGAAAAAAGTCTTTACAACATTGCCATGATTCTGTCCCTCTCCTGCACCCTCCCCAACAGCTATGAAAATGGCCCTACACTCTGGCCACCAAACCAGGATGTCTACTTAAGTGGACAAAGTAGGGAGTGAAGAAAGAGGGGTTAGATGAGGGAGACCTTGGGGGGGGGTGGGGGAAGGAAAGAATTGTGCCTATTCTCTGTGCAGACTTTAACCAGATTTCCATCAACACCATCTTGCCAGCAACTGCCATTCCAGCTCGACCACCTTGCCTAAAATAAGCCAGTGACTAAGACCTAGCCCTACTGGGACAGTAAGGAATTGTCCACGTTGCTTTCATGATAAGCCTAGGAGCACCACTGTGAAGCACAGGCCACCCACTTACTTCTGCTCCAGACATGCCAATTCCCAGAAACCAGACGACCTTGGCACATCCCTAAGCATGTGCTGGCAAGCACACCTGAGAGCAGAGGCTGGGCACGTGCTTGACTAATCCAAGGCAGCTACTCTGCCTCACTGCAGAGTCTGGTACACACTAAGCAGGAGTGAGCAGGCAGAGCACACTTTGAGGGGTGTTCCTTAGCTCTGCACAGAAGCCGCATAGACAAGCTTTAAGCAATCTTCCATTCCTACCTTCCACAGTAGTCAAGGATAGAAAAGGCTTCAGTTTTGAGCAAGAGTTCAGGTCACTGACCAGTCAGAAAACAAGAGGCACAATGGAAGAACTCCCCTGGCTTCACAGGAAGTTGGGAATTTTGTCCTTAGCATGCTGTGCTGGCCCCACTTCCATGCTACAAGCTGGGTAAGCTCTTCCCCTTCTCCACAAGGGTAAACCCTTTAGATGACATTTCAGCACCCTCACACAATGCTGTGCCATGTGACAGCACAGAAACACACACTTCTGTGCCAAGGTGTCATTGTTGCAGCACAAGAACAAAGAATTATACAAAAATCGCATTGCCCAAACTAATAAAGAGAACATAAGAATGGTCAATATAATGTCAGATTACTTGTCCTTCCAGTCTGGTATTTTTATTCTAATACAGATCAGACTGCATGGCCATCTTTGATCTGACATACACACACATTCAGTTTTTGCCAAGATGGATTTTACTTTAGTATGTGAAGGAGGAGCAGGGCAATAGGTTTGATATTTTTACATCTTTCCCACAAAATTCAGAGCTGGATTGGCACAAGTATAACAGACTAGTGCTTTTCTGATGGCCTTATGAGGTTTTGGTCAAAATCGTCTGCAGTGCATGAACACTGGAAGGAAACCCTTCTAGTAATGACCCAGTGAGAAGCTGTAAATGCAGAAAAAAAACCAACAAACAATGCTTCTGAAAGATGCCTGCATTTCTACCCAGTGGAGTGTTGATTCTGGTGCCTAATGACAGTCTAGATGGTCAACTTGTTCACTAATTTACTGGTAACTATTTCAGAAGCAGTATCCAGCTTCTCAGGATTACCAAAGCAGCTTGCTTAGACAATTACAGCACCTTTTGCTCTCAAACGGAACTCTGGTTTGATTTCACTGATATTTATGGGACTGTGCACTACTTGGTGGCAGACTTACTGCTGCACAAGTGGTGTTTCCAGGTAGTCAGAATTAGGTATCGTTTTCATCTTCACAAAGGCCCTGCAGAAACTCTTGACAATAATATTTAAAGGTTTTATTTCTAGGTTATGGCATCATCCTTAACCTGAAAGCATACCCCCCTGAGAGCACTCTGCAAACACAAAATGGTACTTTTAAAAATAATTCAGTGATTGGCCTGAGAATCTTCCATGAATCTTTTGTTTCTTGGTGAAGCACTTGCATGTTTCCCAATGAAAGGCACTATAAAAGTGCCAATTTTTTTTCCCTAAAGGAAGCCCATGTGCAGGGATGTAACTGGTTTCTGATACAAAGAGGAAGGAAATCCATCTGTCACCATCACAGCTGCTTCAAAGGGTCATGGAGAAAGTTCTATCCCTCTGCAACAGGAAGACTGCTTGGAATAGCTGAGGTGTCAGTGCGAATGGCTCCTTGGAGAGGTTTCAGGCAGCATACGGGAGGGCACGTGACTGTGCTGTGTGTGTGGCGGGGAGTGGCTAGCATGAGACCCCCTAAGAAGAAACAAGCAGCTCTGGTAAAAGGGAAAAAACAAACATTTCTCCAAGCTAATTTTAGAAGAATGGAAAGGAATCGGATGTCAATAGCACATTTACGTACTGTATCTGAGTCAACAGCAATTTGCCTTTTTCTCAGATGCACATCTAGTTTCTTCTTCCTCCCCTCCTCCCAGCTCCACTCCTTGTTCTTTTCCAAATCCTACTGGCTAGGGACATAAACAACACATAAACTGATATAAGTGATTGGAAACCGGTTTAAACCACTAACAGAACAGACTTAAACTCCATTCAAAATGGCCAAAACTGGATAGATGTATTAGACTTAACTGATTTAGGTTAAATAGGTTTATTAAACTTGTCCCCCAGATCCCCTCCAGATTAAAGTTAACTCACAGTTCTCCAGCATCCCAGGACGCTTTGTACCCCTCCCCCTGCAAACATCCCTCACAGGGTGGGCAGGCTAGCCTTAGCCCAAGCTGTCTACTCCAGCCAAGTAGGGTGGCATGCTTTAGTACCCTCAGCCTCTGGTCTGAGCCACTGCAGGCATGTGGCTGCATTTCTGGAATCAAAAGCAAATGTCTGTTCACTTGCTTATTGGTTCAATTTATGCAGCTTAGACTAACCTGTGAAGACTGAATTGATTCAGCCTTGGGCTTTTTGACTGTCTGTACTTAGCCCCAAAGTCCCTGCCCCTCTCCCTCAGCAAGCTAATTAAAAGCAGATTTATGCAGAAGTCTGTTTCCTTCTTTCTTCCCTTCCTCCCTGCATTGGCCACCCACCTCCCCAAAAGATTTGCTAAGATTAAAAAGTCAATTATGCCATTTCTTTCCAAAGCTATTAATCAACTCTGCCTTGTTGCATCTTGTGGGATAAATGATCAGAGACAGAGTTCATGGGTCAAGTTCCTCCCTGCCCCTGCAATCTTGGCTATTAACAGATGCCGCAGGGAAGAGAGAAAACTCCATTTGGACATCAAACAAAAGCCTGGCTCCTCTTTTTTCAAATACAGTTTTCCTTGAACGTTGCTGCAGGAGTACATGAGAAGAGCAAACAGCTCCATCAACTTCAGATCAGTCACTTCCATAGCGCCTGGCTCATAAGGCTATCTGGCTTGTCCTCATCTCCCAGGAGTTGCAGTGCCACAGTGTGGCACTCTCCTGCCTCCCCCAGTTTAGGCAAAGCAAGAGTACCAGAAGTTGCTTACTTTTCCCCTCAGATAACTGAGATAGAAGAAGGAAGCATTCGGTGAGATGGGGTGGCCACATGCAGCAAGCACAACAAGTGGCAGAGGCGGCCTGTGTGGGTGGCATATGGAAGATCGAGGAGGGAGCAGGGAGCACAGCTGCAGATAGGGCAGGGAGCAGAAAGCAAAGCAGCAGATCATGGCAGAGGAAGAGGACTGGAGTGACACTCACAGAGTGCAGGGCTACTTTGTGACATGCAAGGTTGGTCCCTATGCAATAGGGAAACTGTTCTCTCTCAAAGTGAAGGAATCCCCCAAAATGAAAGGATCTAGGGTGCTCCTGAAAAGTGCAGGCAAATGGAGAGCTGTTTCCCTTTTCTACCTCACCATCAAGATTGTTATTGCCCCTATTAGGAGAGCACTTTAAGCCTGTGTATGTGTACAGACAGCTCTAGACAAGGGGCCAGAACTTGCCCAAGAATCTGTCCTGTTGCTGGTGCAGAAAACACTCCACCCACCCTAGACACAACAGTTAAGATGCATGCTTGAGCAAGACCAGAATATATTACAGGAAAACTAATTATGCAATAAGAAGCCCAACACAAAACAAAAGGATTACCCGTATTTTAAAAGTTACTAAGCTGATGAACTGAAAATTATAGGCTGTCAAACGTGAATATTGTGTGACCTAGGGCAGTAAGGCTCGCAAAGTCACTAAACTTCTGGAGGGACTGGAAATATTTAAATCAGCTGGTCCTGACGATCTCCACCCCAGAG